TTTGTAAGGCTTATTCAGATCCTCCCTTATTTTCCTGTTCACTATCACTAAATAACAGGGACCAACTTACTAATTATACTAAATTAGAGATAGGTTTCAGGTATGATCTTCTTAGAAAACACATAAAGGTTCATCAAAACTCCATTGTAAGTTCCACTGATATTGTTATTAAAGGCAAATTTGTGTCACAGTTCTTCAGATGTACATGCCAAGAAATGGTCTGCTTTGTGAGAGCCTCGTTGCAAAAGAACATATAGAATTCATGAAACTACTACATTCATTAATGCCTTTTGTTTCTATTGCTTTTTAGAAATATTGTTTCAAAAATATAAAATCAAAACAAATTCACTAGTATGTAACTTGATTGTGCATGAGTATTATAGTCTGTAAATGATTTTGGTCATTTGCAACTGGCAATATTGTCATGAAGTTTAAATGTGTCAAGCTCCCTGAGTACCTACTGATGACCAGTAAATACTTGTTTCATGTGGGGGGAAAAAGCAAACAATCAAACAGAAAAGTCATCCTGGAAGGCAGATGACAGAACTTTGATGAGAAACAAAATGTGATCAAATGGCCTTCTTGTGAGAAAAATCAGTTTTTATATACTGTTCTCTCTATTTCAGCAAATTATAAGTCAATCATATATAGTGTCCATTTTAAAATGTATGTAATCCATATAAGTGTGCTAGGTAACCTCAGCAAATAATAATGGATGTTTAAGTTCAGCCTCCTTGAGAAAAATAATCTCATGTGACTAGTAATACATTATTTGTGTTATTTTAATGTTAGGGTAGATTGCACACCTGTGTGTGGCAGGGAGAGACAGCAACAGAGAAGGAGCACTGGCACAAGTAAATATGTTTGTAATATGTATATTGTAAAGTTTAAAAAATCTAGAATGGAAATACAAAACATAAAAAATACTCAAATCAAGGAAAAGAAATAAGAAACCAAACACACAGGAAACTCTCAGAAGACGTAAAGTTGAAAAGAGTATCCAACTTTCTACCGAGCATTGTAGTCAGGTAACTTTGATGAAAGAATCTTCAATTTGACTAAGGTAAGATTCAAGTAGAAGATACTACTTTAGGCATGTCAAGAGTAAGTCCTTTGACTTTTATCAGGTAATTTTAGATCTCAACTGGTACATTTCTGAAAAACACATTGACTTTGTTACTTGAGGTGACAGTTTGGTGCCTTCAAAAAAGTTTGTATATTATCTTCTTGCAAGTCATGATTCACCATAAAATTACACTTGAAGTAGAAGGGCTCTCTAGAAAAGAAATTACTGGAACAAGACTTAAATATCACTTAAAAAGAGGTAATACAATAAATATACACACATATGTATACACACACAAATATATATATATATATATTTGTGTGTGTATATGAGAACTTGGCTTATGGGAAGTCAAATGTGGCAAGATTTGCACTGTGACCAATACAGGATATCTAACAGAAATTTTGACCAAATCAAAGGTGTGGTATGTACTAGCAGTTGAAAGGCTGGAAACTGAATAATAGTTCTTAATAGGGTAGAAGATGAGACAGGGCTTTCCAGTGATTTCCTTGCTGCAGGAAAGTGATGTCTTAAAGGGAGAGTACATATTTTAAAATTAACAGATTTACTAACGTTGCCTTTCTACCTGGACATTATAGCGAACATGAGGACATCTTAAAGCAATCTTCAAGACACTGTAGACATCAATTTGTCAAGTAGACTAGAATTCACGGTTATTCAAGATCACTAGAGGTAAATCTATCAGTGCAATCATAAGGAGATAGATCAAGGAATATAAAAATGATACCAGTTGCCCCAGGGGTATGCACTTAACTGTTTCTCATAGAGAACTTTGTGTATAATTCTCTAATGTACATAGGAATCTTGGGTATGGATGTGTAGAAGAGATGTAGGCTGCATATCAAGTTTGGAGTGTTTTGTTTGATGTAATGAAAGTTATGATGAAGTTGTGTTGTTGAGAAAAGGGTGGTCTGTGAGGAGGAGATTATGAACCCAGCCAGAGTCCTTTCCCAAAACACTGTTGACAAAGAACTAGAGAGCATAAGACCAAGCAAGAGACTACTGAAAGTTGGAAGACTGCTGAAGGAACAGCAGATTACTTGGATCTGAATGGGCCCTGGCCCTTCTTGGCCCTTAGCAAGATGCCACCTCTAACTGATCATATGCCAGTCTAAAGTGAAGCAACCTAACAGTTCAGAGGTCTCTGTTTAGATTATAAGCTTGCAAAAGAAGCAATGGTCCCATCCGTGCTACTCTACACAGTCTTATGCTTTGGAAGAAACAACTCATATAACCTCGAGGCTTGTTCATGATGTCTAACACCTTTGTAGTCTGTGACTAATGTCCATGTGGATGCAGAATCATCAAGTCAATTGAATCAGGTAACAGTAGGTCCGTAAAAGTGCTGAACTTCCATTAAGCCTCAATTTCAAAAATCCAACTTCTACACATTTACACATTTGGTGAAGAAATTAAAAAGATACTAAATTCAGCTCTTAAAGAATCTGTGAGTCTAGACTATACATGTGATTATATTTTCTCTATCTTTAGATGCACCAGGAGAGGGCATCAGATCCTGTTAGAGATGGTTGTAAGTAACCATGTGTTAGGAATTGAACTCAGAACTTCTGGAAGAGCAGCCCAGTACTCTTAACCACTATTAGTCAACCCTTACCCCAAAAGACATTCAAGGTCTATACTCACTGGTAAGTGCATATTAGCCAAAAGAACAGAATACTCATGATACAACTCACAGGTCATATGAAACTTACTAAGAAGGAAGGCACAAGTGTGGATACTTCAGTCCCACTTAGGAGGAACAAAATAATCCCAGAAAGAAGGGGGTGGGAGGAACATGGGTAGGAGATAGGGAGGGAAAAGTAGGGAGAATCAAATATGGGACTGAGACAGGAGAGAAGCCCTTAGGGCTAGGAGAATGAACAGAAATACACAGCAGTAGGGAGTGAGGGCCAGGGTGAACCTCTAGAGAATCGTAGAGAGCTGGGATGTGAGAGACTCCCAGAACTCAATGGGCATGACCTTAGCTAAAATGACGAAGAGTGGGGAAATGGAAACTAAAGAGATCATCTCCAGTAGATAGACGGGGCACCCAGTTGAGGCATGAAGCCATCCACTCATCTTTAAAATATTTGATTCACAATTGCTCCTGACTAAAGGAAATGCAGGGAGAAAAATGGTCCAGAGAATTCAGGAACGGACATCTAATGACTGATCCAACTTGTGTTTAATCCCATGCACAGGACCAAACCAATGACATTATTATTAATGACATGTTGTGCTTGCAGAAAGGAACACATTGGTGTCCTCTGAAAGGCTCTACCAGCATCTGACTGAGACAGATGCAGATACAGCCAACTCTTCAAGTGAGGTCAAGAACACCTATGGGAGGGTTAGTAGAAGGATTGAAGGAGCTAAAGTGGATGGCAACTCCAAAGGACCAACAACAGTATCAACTAATCTGGACCCTTATGAGCTCCCAGAGTCTAAGCCAACAACGAAAGAGCATACATGGGGTAGTCCATGGCCCCTGGTGCATATGTAGCAGAAGAATGCCTTGTTTGGACTGAGTGGGAGAGGATGTGCCTAAACCTGTAGAAACTTGATGCTCCAGAATATTGTGGTGATGGTTTGGATGAGGTAGGTGGGGAGGTTGTGTGGGGAAGCACCCTCTCAGAAGCAAAGGGAAGGGGGATGGAATTATGAACCACTGGACAGGAAACTGGAAATGGGGGTAACATTTCTAATATAAATAAATAAAATAATTTAATAAAATGGAAATGAAAAAGATTCTGTTAACATACACATACATGGAGGAAAAGGGATTCCTGAGAAAAAATATGTTTATTGAATTAAATCTCTTAAGATGTAGTTGACCTGGAGATCAGAGTTACCTTCCCACAAGATATTGCACCGCTAGGGTTCTGAAATCCATCATGACATTCTTGTAGCTATATTTCTTTTTGTATGAATATTAGACCTAACTTATTTGCCTATATTTTTAAGCAGCAATACTCTCTTTCAGCAACAAGAATATTTTGTTGGCATTGAGTTAGAAGATCCCTCAATGTTGACTAGATGCCAGAGTCTGGAAGCCACTATGGCACTGGCTTTTGAAGAATTACCCACAATGGTACTGTAGCACAAGTGCTAGTACAAGTAGTAAGTGTATGAAACTATGCTTCTTAGAACAATCATGGTGTAATTGTTATTTGTGCAGTTAACAAACTTCTGACATGATTAAGAGCAATTGCAAGAAATCAACCTATGTTTGTTATCTTAAAAAAATGTCCAGTAATTTTTGAGAGGTTATATTGTCTAATGGAAGTTAATAGAGTTTTTGTATTAAATATATATGATATATTTTAGACTGAGTTCTAAATACCTAATTTAAGCATTCAGATTTTAATTGTCAGCTTAGTTCACAGAGAAACACTCTTCAGAGTATCCAGTGATTACTGGCAAAGATTCATAACAGTATACATAATTTACTAATGTTGTGGTATGTTGATCAAATATTCAATGCAGAATCATTCTCTGTCCCTAAATATGAGGAAAAGATTAGATAAAGTATGGAAGATTTAAAAGAAAGAGAAGTAATCACAAACAATGATTTTCTAATGGTCTGACATGATCATCTTTAATCAGGCCACTGAGAATGGCTCCAGAGATTTCAAAAATAATTTGCACAAGATTCAATGTGTAGTAACATGTAAAAGGATGTCATCCAGACACGTATAAGTATGTTGTAATAAAAGCGTTAACATCCTCTGAAGGCAGAATGACATGCTTCATGAATGAGTGTTTCTGTACATGACTACTTGCTGTTGCGTGGAATGCATGTCATAGGACTTATCTGCTAGAATATATAGGAACAGAAAACTAACCAAATGTACAACTCAAGTGAAGCAGGTCTCCAGAGACAGAATTCATTCTTCTTAGGAACAACTCACTAATGGAGCTGCCACTGAGTCAACCTTACTTCTGTAAGTAAATCCCCCTCCCTGGTGTGTCTCTTAGTAAAAGTACTCAGTTCAGTGATTCTGTGAATTTATTTCAATGAAATGCATTCTTTGGAATCTTTCATGTTCTATCTGGTGTGAAAAGATATTTGTTCATAGTTTATCAGGAGTCAAATTCTGCATGCCCTTTATACTATTGTTTAAAATTATTTTTTCTTGAAAGAAACTGTACAAGGGTACAAGAGACAATTGGATTAGTAGATTTTGACATCCTTTAATTTTAGACATGTTGCAATGTTCAATGAGAGTCTGTGTTATCTTGTCTTCTCTTTTGAGAAAAGAGAAGGAGGAGGAATGTGTTCCTGGTATCACATGAGTAGAACTGACGATAATCACTAAGCAGCTTCCAATGCATAAAACACCTTCTAGCACAAGGAATACATCTCAAATGTACAATGTTTTAGAGTTTCATAAATTGTAAATTATTGAGGGTGTAAAATCAGTGGATTGAATTAATCTTATCTAAAGGCAGAAGAAACAGAATTGTGATTGTGAGTAAAAAGTACTAATGGTTGGGGTTCTGAATTCTACCTTAGCCAATAACAGGCTATTAGAAAAATAATTTGAGTATGCATTCCTTCTACAATCTGAATACATTCATATTACATTAAGAGAGCCTAATCTGCTAACTAAGTATGGGGTAGATCAACTTTAAAAAGAATGTTCTGAATATTTTTATTTGAATTTTTATTAAATATTTTCTTTATTTCCATTTCAAATGTCACACCATTTACTGGATTCCCCTCTGAAAACCCCCATCCCATCCTTCTACCCCTGCTTCTATGAGTGTGTTCCCTCCATACACACACCCACTCATTCCTACTTCCCCATTCTGGCATTCCCCTACACTGGAGCATCAAGCCTTCAGAGGACCAAGGGCCTTTCTTCTTATTGATGACCCACAAGGCTATCTTTTGCTACATATATGGCTGGAGCCATGGATTGCTCCATGTGTATTCTTTGTTTGGAGTTTTAGTCCCTGGGAGTTCTGGGAGGTCTGGTTGATTCATATAGTTGTTCCTCCTATGGGGCTGCAAACCCCTTCCGCTCCTTCAGTCCTTTCTCCAACTCCTCCATTGGGGACTCCTTGATTAGTCTATTGGTTGCCTGTGAGCATCCACCTCTGTATTTGTTAGGCTCTAGCAGAGCCTCTCAGGAGACAACTATATCAGGCTCCTGTTACCAAGCAGTTCTTGGCATCCACAGTAGTGTCTGTGTTTGGTGACTGGATGTGGGTTGGATCCCCAGTTAGGGCAGTCTCTGGAAGGCCTTTCCTTCAGTCTTTGCTTCACATTTTTTCTCTTTATCTCCTCCTGTTGGTATTTCATTCCCCCTTCTAAGAAAGACTGAAGTATCCACACTTTGATATTCCTTCATCTTGAGCTTCATGTGGTCTGTGAATTGTGAATCTGATGTGCTGTCAAGCTGCTAGTGTATGCTCTCTCCAGTTTTGTTTTAGAAGCACTCAAAGCTATGAGTTTTCCTCTTAGCACTGGTTTCATTGTCACATAAGTTTGGGTATGTTGTGCCTTCATTTTCATTGAATTCTAAGAAGTCTTAATTTCTTTCTTTATTTCTTCCTTGACCAAGTTATCATTGAGTAGAACATTGTTCAGTTTCCATGTGTATTTAGGCTTTCTATTAATTTTGTTGTTATTGAAGACTAGCCTTAGTCCATGGTGATCTGATAGGATGCATGGGATTATTTCAATCTTCTTGTATCTCTTGAGGCCTGTTTTGTGACTGATTATATGGCCAATTTTGGAGGAGGTACCATGAGGTGCTAAGAAGAAGGGATATTCCTTTGTTTTAAGATGGAATGTTCTGTAGATATCTGTTATATTCATTTGGTTCATAACTGCTTTTAGATTCACTGGGTCTCGGTTTAGTTTGTTTTCATGATGTTCTCATGTTGATGAGAGTAGGGTGTTGAAGTCTTTCACTATTCTTGTGTGAGGTGCAATGTGTGCTTTGAGCTTTAGTAAATTTTCTTTTATGAATGTGGGTGCCCTTGCATTTGGAGCATAGATGGTCAGAATTGAGAGTTCATTTTGGTAGATTTTTCCTTTGATGAGTATGAAGTGTCCTTTACCTTTTTGATAACTTTTGGTTGAAAGTCAATTTTATTCGATATAAAAATGGTTACTCAGGCTTGTTTCTTGGGATATTTGCTTAGAAAATTGTTTCCCAGTCCTTTATTCTGAGGTAGTGTCTATTTTTGACTCTGATGTGCATTTCCTGTATGCAGAAAAATACTGAGTCCTGTTTATGTATCCAGTCTGTTAGTATATTTCTTTTTATTGGTGAACTGTGTCCATTGATGTTAAGAGATATTAAGGAAAAGTGATTGTTGCTTCCTTGCCGTTTTTGTTGTTAGAGGTAGAATTATGTTTGTGTGGCTATCTTCTTTTAGGTTTGTTGAAAGATTACTTTCTTGCTTTTTCTAGGTTGCAGTTTCTGTCTTTGTGTTAGAGTTTTCCATATATTGTCCTTTGTAGGGCTGAATTTGTATAAAGATATTGTGTAAATTTGGATTTGTCATGTAATATCTTGGTTTTTCCATCTACAGTAATTGAGGGGTTTTCCTGGGTATAATAGTCTGGGCTGGCATTGTGTTCTCTTAGTGTCTGTATGACATCTGTTAGGCTCTTCTAACTTCCATAGTCTTTGGTGAGAACTCAGGTGTAACTCTAATAGATCTGCCTTTATATGTTACTTGAACTTTTCCCCTTATTTCTTTTAATAATCTTTGCTTTTTGCATTTGGTGTTTTGACTATTACATAACAGGAGGAATTTCTTTTCTGGTCCATTCTACTTGGAGTTCTGTAGGCTTCTTGTATGTTTATGGGCATCTCTTTCTTTAGGTTAGGGAAGTTTTCTTCTATAATTTGGTTGAAGATACTTAGTGGCCCTTTAAGTTGGGCATCTCTGCCCTCTTCTATACATATTATCCTTAGCATTGCTCTTCTCATTGTTTCATAGATTTTCTGGATGTTTTGGTTTAGAAGCTTTTTGCATTTTCCATTTTCTTTGATTGTTGTGTCAATGTTTTCTATGGTATCTTTTGAACACGAGATTCTTTCTTATCTTTTCTACTCTGTTTGTAATGCTTGTGTCTATGACTCTTGATCTCTTTTTTAGGTTTTTCTTTCTTCAAGGTTGTCTCTCTTTGTGATTTCTTTATTGTTTCTATTTCCATTTTTAGATCCTGGATCGTTTTGTTCAATTCTTTCACCTGTTTGGTTGTGTTTTCCATTCTTTAAGGGACTTTTGTGTTTTCTCTTTAAAGGCTTCTACCTGTTTACCTGTGTTGTTCTCTATTTCTTTAAGGGAGCTATTTATGTCTTTTGTAAAGTCTTCTATCATCATCATGAGACATGACTTTAAATTAGACATGACTTCTTTTCTGGTGGGTTGGGATATCCAGGGCCCACTCTTGTGAAAGAACTGGGTTCTGATGATGCCAGGTAACCTTGGTTTCTGTTGCTTATGTTCTTTCCCTTGTCTCTTACCAGCTGGATATCTCTGGGGTTAGCTGGGCTTGCTATATCTGAATGTGGCCTGTAACTCCTACAAGCTTATGTGTCAATACTCCTGGGAGACTAGCTCTTTCTGGTATGAATTTGGGTATGAAGAGCTGTGGTACATTGTATCTGTTTGGCTGACAGAAATCTGAAGGATCCTGTCCACGGCTGTTTCTTTGTTCCTGTGTCCTGATGACTCTGGGCATGTAACTCTTGGGCCAGGAATTTGAGCAGAAATCGTGGTGTTGCCTATGCTAACAGATGTGCCAGCACTCCTGGGAGACCAGCTCTCTCCTGGAGGTATTTGGGTGTGGAGTGCTGTGGCACAGGATCAACTCTGGACACAGATAGAAAACAGAATGATCGTGTCCCAGGCTGCTCCTCTGTTCCTGTGTCCTGAGGTCTCTGGGTGGGTCCTGTAGAACAAAAGTGGTGATCTTACCTGTGTTGACAGGTGTTACTACACTCCTGGAAGACCAGCTCTCTTTCAGTGCTATTTGGGTATGGAGCACTGTGGCACAGGGTCATCTATGGTTACAGACAAACTGGAAGGCAATCTGAAGTTTTTGATGAAAAAAAATCTCTGATGTATATTCATCATAAGTTGGCACTTCTAAGCTGACAACATATATTAGATAACATCACATCATCTTGTTAGTAATCATCATGGTTGTATTTATTGTTCAATGTATAGAGGAAGCAAAGAGGTAAACTGTTCTATCCCTTTGTTATGTGTCCAAAACATGGACATCAGATATGATGATTAAAAATTGCATATTTTTCAAGAGTTTGGTGACATAAAATGAGTTTAAATTCCAAATAAGATAAACCATCTAATAAATGACTTAAAGTACAAGTTCAGAACTAATTTTAGTTTCAGACATTTGTAAAATTCAGAAGCACTTCTGAAACAACAAAAATATGTGAAATCAGCTGCTCCTCAAACTATTATTCAGAAAAATTCAATTACTTACCTAAGTACATAGAATGAATATGTATGCCATTCCATATATCCCATATAAAGTTATGCAGGAAAACAAAACAAACAAACAAACAAACAAACAAAAAATAAACAACAACAAAAACAAAAGAACAAACAAACTAAAAAACTAAAAAAAAAACTTTGACCAGAAAAAACTTTACTGGTGCCTAGGAGAACTCAGGTTAATATACAATCTCTAAGTGACTTTTGTTTCTATATAGCAGGGGCATTACTGTTGCTGGTGGTCTCAAATGTGCTGCTTTGGGACAAAGCTGCATCAATTCCTGCGTGTCAGGCAAAAGAGGGCGGCTGCTGGGACCCACTTGTGGAAACATTTAACAGTGCCATTCAGAAAGCTGAAACTCTCCAAAAACTGGCTAGCCAATTCTATATAGAGCTTGTAAGTATCTCAACCATCATACTAATACTTGAACTGCACTAGAACCGGACATATTAAATATCATGACTGAAATATCAGAAAATTCACCTTCATGGATAAAAGATGCTCCAACTACTGAAACAATGACAGGGCCAATTGGACCGTGTCATGAAATTTCATAGAATCTAATGATATTAATACATTTTCTCTACTTTGTTAAAAATCTAAAAATAACTATGGTAGAAACTTTTAAAATGTGATTGGGGAGGAACTCTTATTTCCTGTTTTTACATTGAGGATCATGAAATTCTATTGGCCATGTTCATTTAGCACACAGAAGGTTCACACTTTGAAAGACATGCATTGCAGTGAACTATATATTTGTAACAGAGATAAAGTAAAACATGTGAAAATTCAAGAAAGAAGGAACAGAAGAAAGGAAGGAAGGAAGAAAAAATAAAAAGTGAGAGAGAGAAAGAAAAAAATTCTAGCCTTTCAAGAAGCCCCAAAATACTAGAAATTGTGGCTTACAGAATTTCAGTAATAAGAGTTTGTCCAATATCAGGGCAGGAATAAGCGTGTATCTATCTTCCTTTTGGTTACTGTCATTTCTCAAGGTCAGAAAAAAGAAACTATACAAAAAAGCAAACCTTCAATATGATGGGCGTCAAAAGAATGTGTCTCTGTTTGGAATGAACACATCATATTTTTATTGACTAAATGTTATTTTTCTCCCGTTAACATGTCTCAGTACCACAACCAATTCTCATCTGGACAATTTGCAGATTTTGTAAGTACTTTATTTATTTTCTTCCAGCTGCTTCCCAATAAGAGCTTTATTTCAATGACTGTGCTTTAGAAGAGAAAGCATCTTACAGTATTTGTATTGTATTTCCTGTTCTCAAGTGAAAGTTTTCAACATTCTAACCTTCATAGTTATTCACGAATTAGCTGATTATTTGAAATAAGTATGATATTCTAAAGTATATATTTAAGTAAATTAAGTATTTTATCAATCCTACAGTGACTACTAATTCAATACACAATATTAATTAATATTTTTTATATTTTGGTGGCTTTGAGTTTATAAAGAATTTACTGTAAAATGTTTTATTTTGTAAGCAATTTCATTCCAGAACTATTATAAACATGCCCAGCTACATTCATTAGTGTTAAATGAATAAATTTATAATTTTATTATCTGGTAAGGAAATGTCAATACTTGTTGACAGAAAGTAGGAATATTAATAAATGCTACGGCTTTTTGCTGAGATGCTAAACAATGGAGTCAATTAAATCACTTAGTTCTTCATAAATTGAATCCTTTCAGATTCTGCCATCCTTAGCATAACTTTTGAAAGTGAAGAAGAAAAGTGAGTAAGAGATGAGGAACTTTATTCAAAAGTTAATGAAAAAAGCTAAGTTATATTACAGGTACAAAGTATAAATACAAAACTATATGACAGACAGTTTCTTAATTCCTCAATTCCTGTATGAATTACTTAGGTTAAAATTTACAAATGCCCTAAAATGCAGTAATATTCTTGCCATGAAGTTATTTATGATTTCGGAGCTCTATTTTTTGTTGTATTTGCAGAATTCACAACTGATTCGGCGGGATAAGACTGTTGTCAGAGCTGGAACTTACTGCCATTCTACTCTCACAAACCCCCCAAATAGGGGAACTGAGCATGCAGATATTGAAGTGAGTTTCCTTCAAGGGCTTTCCCCAGAATTCCAGAAGCAGTATATTGGGTTCGTGGTACTGTCAGTTATTACAGGCATTATGATAGATACAGTAATTGTGCATGCAGAAAAAAATGAAGATAAAGTACAGAAAACAATC